TTAATGGTTCAATAGAAATCTGCATTTATGAATTTAGCAGATGCTTTTATGCAGAACTGACTTACAATAGAGGAACAAAAGCAATTTGTCACAGAACCAACAATAAACAATTCGTAGTAGTGTAACAAGAGTGCACTGTAGGCAAGCTTGGAGAACCCAAGTGCAGCTTTATTATATCCCAACGTGAACAGATACAAAGTAAACAAAGACTTGGCTTTACGTGATACAGGTAACAATACTTGACAAAGACACATGGCAAACATAAGGGCTTAAATACAGACTACTAATGATTAAACGAGACACACCTGTGAACATGATTTAGACAATTAACCAATGACTACTAAACACAAAAGACTAGGGAAGCACATGGCAGGATCACATGAGGGAAAGGGAATCACATGACAAGACATGAAAAATGAACCAAAACAACATGTGGGATATATGACGCACTCCCAACATTTTCTTGGGCTGAGCCATTGGGTTGTGGATTGGAGCGGGCACACGGGCTGGAGTCCCCTCTGGACGCTGGTCAGGGGCTGGAGGAGATGCGTGTGCATCATCAGCGCTGCATCATCCGGAGCTGACCCAGGTGTAGCGGCCATCTTGGCTGTGGGCTTTGGCGTGGTGGCCATCTTGACTTTGGGCTTTGGCGTGGCGGCCATCTTGACTTTGGGCTTTGGCGTGGCGGCCATCTTGGCTTTGGCGTGGTGGCCATCTTGACTTTGGGCTTTGGCGTGGTGGCCATCTTGACTTTGGGCTTTGGCGTGGCGGCCATCTTGGCTGTGGGCTCTGGAATGGCGGCCATCTTGGCTGTGGGCTCTGGAATGGCGGCCATCTTGGCAGGAGACTTTGGCTCGGCCGGCTCACGGGTTGGAACCGATGTGTGTGCTGACTCAGACTCGGCAGGAATGATGTGAAGAGGCTCAGACTCGGCAGGAATGATGTGAAGAGGCTCAGACTCGGCAGGAATGATGTGAAGAGACTCAGACTCGGCAGGAATGATGTGAAGAGACTCAGACTCGGCAGGAATGATGTGAAGAGGCTCAGGCTCGGCAGGAATGATGTGAAGAGACTCAGGCTCGGCAGGAATGATGTGAAGAGACTCAGACTCGGCAGGCATGATGTGAAGAGACTCAGACTCGGCAGGAATGATGTGAAGAGGCTCAGACTCGGCAGGAATGATGTGAAGAGGCTCAGACTCGGCAGGAATGATGTGAAGAGACTCAGACTCGGCAGGAATGATGTGAAGAGGCTCAGACTCGGCAGGAATGATGTGAAGAGACTCAGACTCGGCAGGAATGATGTGAAGAGACTCAGGCTCGGCAGGAATGGTGTGAAGAGACTCAGACTCGGCAGGAATGATGTGAAGAGGCTCAGACTCGGCAGGAATGATGTGAAGAGACTCAGACTCGGCAGGAATGATGTGAAGAGACTCAGACTCGGCAGGAATGATGTGAAGAGGCTCAGACTCGGCAGGAATGATGTGAAGAGACTCAGACTCGGCAGGAATGATGTGAAGAGGCTCAGACTCGGCAGGAATGATGTGAAGAGACTCAGACTCGGCAGGAATGATGTGAAGAGACTCAGACTCGGCAGGAATGATGTGAAGAGACTCAGACTCGGCAGGAATGATGTGAAGAGACTCAGGCTCGGCAGGAATGATGTGAAGAGACTCAGACTCGGCAGGAATGATGTGAAGAGGCTCAGACTCGGCAGGAATGATGTGAAGAGACTCAGACTCGGCAGGAATGATGTGAAGAGACTCAGGCTCGGCAGGAATGATGTGAAGAGACTCAGGCTCGGCAGGAATGATGTGAAGAGACTCAGACTCGGCAGGAATGATGTGAAGAGACTCAGACTCGGCAGGAATGATGTGAAGAGACTCAGGCTCGGCAGGAATGATGTGAAGAGACTCAGGCTCGGCAGGAATGATGTGAAGAGACTCAGACTCGGCAGGAATGATGTGAAGAGACTCAGGCTCGGCAGGAATGATGTGAAGAGACTCAGGCTCGGCAGGAATGATGTGAAGAGACTCAGACTCGGCAGGAATGATGTGAAGAGACTCAGGCTCGGCAGGAATGATGTGAAGAGACTCAGGCTCGGCAGGAATGATGTGAAGAGACTCAGACTCGGCAGGAATGATGTGAAGAGACTCAGGCTCGGCAGGAATGATGTGAAGAGACTCAGACTCGGCAGGAATGATGTGAAGAGACTCAGACTCGGCAGGAATGATGTGAAGAGACTCAGACTCGGCAGGAATGATGTGAAGAGACTCAGACTCGGCAGGAATGATGTGAAGAGACTCAGACTCGGCAGGCATGATGTGAAGAGACTCAGACTCGGCAGGAATGATGTGAAGAGGCTCAGACTCGGCAGGAATGATGTGAAGAGGCTCAGCCTCGGCAGGAATGATGTGAAGAGACTCAGACTCGGCAGGAATGATGTGAAGAGACTCAGACTCGGCAGGAATGATGTGAAGAGACTCAGGCTCGGCAGGAATGATGTGAAGAGACTCAGGCTCGGCAGGAATGATGTGAAGAGACTCAGACTCGGCAGGAATGATGTGAAGAGGCTCAGACTCGGCAGGAATGATGTGAAGAGACTCAGACTCGGCAGGAATGATGTGAAGAGACTCAGGCTCGGCAGGAATGATGTGAAGAGACTCAGGCTCGGCAGGAATGATGTGAAGAGACTCAGACTCGGCAGGAATGATGTGAAGAGACTCAGACTCGGCAGGAATGATGTGAAGAGGCTCAGACTCGGCAGGAATGATGTGAAGAGACTCAGACTCGGCAGGAATGATGTGAAGAGGCTCAGACTCGGCAGGAATGATGTGAAGAGACTCAGACTCGGCAGGAATGATGTGAAGAGGCTCAGACTCGGCAGGAATGATGTGAAGAGACTCAGACTCGGCAGGCATGATGTGAAGAGACTCAGACTCGGCAGGCATGATGTGAAGAGACTCAGACTCGGCAGGCATGATGTGAAGAGACTCAGGCTCGACAGGAATGATGTGAAGAGACTCAGACTCGGCAGGAATGATGTGAAGAGACTCAGGCTCGACAGGAATGATGTGAAGAGACTCAGACTCGGCAGGCATGATGTGAAGAGACTCAGACTCGGCAGGAATGATGTGAAGAGACTCAGACTCGGCAGGAATGATGTGAAGAGACTCAGACTCGGCAGGAATGATGTGAAGAGACTCAGACTCGGCAGGAATGATGTGAAGAGACTCAGGCTCGACAGGAATGATGTGAAGAGGCTCAGACTCGGCAGGAATGATGTGAAGAGACTCAGACTCGGCAGGAATGATGTGAAGAGGCTCAGACTCGGCAGGAATGATGTGAAGAGACTCAGACTCGGCAGGAATGATGTGAAGAGGCTCAGACTCGGCAGGAATGATGTGAAGAGACTCAGACTCGGCAGGAATGATGTGAAGAGGCTCAGACTCGGCAGGAATGATGTGAAGAGACTCAGACTCGGCAGGCATGATGTGAAGAGACTCAGACTCGGCAGGCATGATGTGAAGAGACTCAGACTCGGCAGGCATGATGTGAAGAGACTCAGGCTCGACAGGAATGATGTGAAGAGACTCAGACTCGGCAGGAATGATGTGAAGAGACTCAGGCTCGACAGGAATGATGTGAAGAGACTCAGACTCGGCAGGCATGATGTGAAGAGACTCAGACTCGGCAGGAATGATGTGAAGAGACTCAGACTCGGCAGGAATGATGTGAAGAGACTCAGACTCGGCAGGAATGATGTGAAGAGACTCAGACTCGGCAGGAATGATGTGAAGAGACTCAGGCTCGACAGGAATGATGTGAAGAGACTCAGGCTCGAAAGGAATGATGTGAAGAGACTCAGGCTCGGCAGGAATGATGTGAAGAGACTCAGGCTCGACAGGAATGATGTGAAGAGACTCAGACTTGGCAGGCATGATGTGAAGAGACTCAGACTCGGCAGGAATGATGTGAAGAGACTCAGACTCGGCAGGAATGATGTGAAGAGACTCAGACTCGGCAGGAATGATGTGAAGAGACTCAGGCTCGACAGGAATGATGTGAAGAGACTCAGACTCGGCAGGAATGATGTGAAGAGACTCAGACTCGGCAGGAATGATGTGAAGAGACTCAGGCTCGACAGGAATGATGTGAAGAGACTCAGACTCGGCAGGAATGATGTGAAGAGACTCAGACTCGGCAGGAATGATGTGAAGAGGCTCAGACTCGGCAGGAATGATGTGAAGAGACTCAGACTCGGCAGGCATGATGTGAAGAGACTCAGACTCTGGAATGGCGGCCATCTTGGCTGTGGGCTCTGGAATGGCGGCCATCTTGGCTGTGGGCTCTGGAATGGCGGCCAGCTTGGCAGGAGACTTTGGCTCGGCCGGCTCACGGGTTGGAGCCGATGTGTGTCCTGACTCAGACTCGGCAGGCATGATGTGAAGAGAAATGAAGAGATACAATTTTTGATTAATATAAATACATAAAAATTAGATTAAAATTAAATGAAACAAAGTGTGTGTGTTAGAGTGTTTGTGTGTGTGTGTGTGTGAGTGAGTGAGTGAGTGAGTGTGAATGATAAAGTGTGTGAGAGAGTGTGAGTGTGTAGTGACTGTGTGAGAGAGTGTGTGAGTGTTTGTGTGTGTGTGTGAGTGTTTGTTTGTGTGTGTGTGTGAGAGAGAAAGTGTGTGTGATAGAGTGAGTGTGTGTGTGTTCTTGTATATGTTTTATGGGGACACAACTGTGTATGACAAGTTTATTACAACGTAAACATTTCCTGTGACCTCGTAAACCAAATGATTTTAAAAACATAGTTTTTTTATTAAAAAAATGCCAAAAGTTTTCTGTGATGGGTAAGTTTTTATATCCCTGAAGATGAAGCAGAACCTCTACAGATATTATATATAAAATGCATTTAGAATCGACAGGCCTTGAGGGAATAGTTCTGTGATCTGCAGAAGCTCCTGACGGTGTTTATCGATGGTTCTCTTTCAGATCTACGATCAGGAAGGAACGCTACTGCACTTCATCGACGGGAACGAGCCCAGCAAGTCGAGTTGGATGAGGTACATCCGCTGCGCTCGACACTGCGGGGAGCAGAACATGATGGTGGTGCAGTACAGGTACTGACCCTGACCTCTGACCCTAACCTGACCTCTGACCCTGACCTCTGACACTCACCTGACCCCTGACCTCTGACCCTAACCTGACCTTAACCCGACATCTAACCCTGACCCGACCCCTTACCCTAATTATTATTCTGTTAGGATTATATTATTTATAGTTAGCAGTAAGTAAAACAATAGAAGAAAATCTTACAGAATATCAAAAAGTACAAATGTTACAGAATTATATAGAAAAGGAAATTGCGATATCTTTAGTTTATATCTCGCAATTCAGTGTGAGTGTGTGTGAGTGAGTGTGTTTGTGTGTGTGTGTGAGAGTGAGTGTGAGTCAGTGAGTGTATGTCTGTGTTTGTGTGAGTGTGTGTGTGTGTGTGAGACCGAGTAAATGTGTGAGAGTGAGTGAGCGCGTGAGTGAGTGAGTGTGTGTGAGTGTGTGAGTGTGAGTGTGAGTGTGAGTGAGCGCGTGAGTGAGTGTAAGTGAGTGTGTATTTAGGTGTGTGTAAGAGTGTGTGTGAGTGAGCGCGTGAGTGTGTGAGAGTGAGTGAGTGAGTGTGTATTTGTGTGTGTGTGTGAGTGAGTGTGTATTTGTGTGTGTGTGTGTAAGAGTGAGTGTGAGTGTGTGTGAGTGAGTGAGTGAGTGTGTATTTGTCTGTGTGTGTGTGTGTGTGTGTGTGTGTGTGTGTGTGTGTGTGTGTGTGTGTTTGAGTGTCCGTAAGAGTGTGTGAGAATTGTAATTTTTTTATTCTGTGGCGTAAAAAACAGAATTGCTCTTCTTTTCCAGTGTTTCAATGTTAATGCGTTAAGACGGATGTCTTTAACCACTGCGCTCGTGTCTCGCAAGCTTTATAATGGCCGTTTCTATTTTGAAGTCCATAAAAGTGCATCTATCCATCATAAAAGTGCATCTGTCCATCATAAAAGTGCATCTATCCATCATAAAAGTGCATCTATCCATCATAAAAGTGCATCTATCCATTAGTAGGGAGGTTAAGCCCAAAAAATAGGCCTTTGACTTCAAGTCATGATGCAAAGGTCTCCATTGGTATGGAAGTACCTTAGGGTCATACAAATAAATTTATCCTAAGACACAAGTGAGATCACACTTTGTATCAGAAATAAACATGTTTTTTCAAAAATGCGCCGAAAATACTCTAGAGCCCATATCTTTGCTTCTGTTATCGCTATAATGACAAATTTGGTGTCAAAGTGTACATTTTTGGGGTCAAGGAATCCAATAAAATTGGTTTCAAGTTTAAAAAAATAATAATTTTCCCCATACCATGACAATTGGGGGTAAATATGCACATTTCACATAAAAATTGTCATCAGAGTGACTTTACTTATCTTTTCGTTCAAAAACTTTAATTTTGTATTTAAGCAGGGCAGCTACTTCTGTACATTACATTTGTCCTAAGTAGCATGAGATTTCGACCAGTTAGGAGTAGCCTATAGCATATCAGTTCCTGCAACAACACATCCCATCTGCACCAGGAGCTGTGACAGCTGTTGAAGGTCAGAGGTGACAGGTTAACACTTTGAGGTTCGTATGACTTTCTCATTAAATAGAAAAATATTTTTAATGTTAGATAACTAATAAATAGCTAGCTAGTTGACTCTGGAAAAAAAAACCTTAGAGGGAAAACCTCTTTTCTCGAGAATACTGAAGCCAAATATTATCCTTATAATTTGTATTAACTTAAAACACACTTGCAGCAGCTAGCAGACCTAGGCGAGGCAGCTCGCGCGCCTATTGGATGCTATGCGGCAACTGCTGCAACCTATCGAGGCACTGCTCGTGACATAAGCACCAATGAGTGGGCGTGTGGGCGAATGGGCGTGGCTTATGCCTATATAAGCCAGAGCTCGATAAGATGCTCCTTGGTTTTCATCGACTGAAGCAAAACCAGATGGTAGCACAAGCACGGCAGGGTTACGCAACACTCATTCCCTCTTCTAGAGAGAACCGAGGTTACATTAGTAACCGTGACGTTCTCTTACGAGAGTACTCTCGTGTTGCGTAAGCTAGCTTACGCTATGGGAATCCAATTTAAAACGCCGTGCGTGCTAAATCTACCACAACACTGACCCAAGGGCGAGCGCCCTGAGTTCATATGATATAGGGATATAAAAAGCTGACATTGGGAATGGGCTTAATAAGAATGATATAAGGTAAACGTGGTTACCTTAAATGCATAGAGGGTGCTTAACACGGTATAACAGTCAGGGGAGGCAGTAGCCTGCCTGAACTGAAAACTTTGCAGTCCGCGGAACCGAGTCCGGCAGAACTGAGAAATCCCACTGGACCAGGCCCACGAAGAGGCATGCCTCTAGTGGAATGAGCTCTGACGCCCAGAGGGCAACGAAGGCTCTTAGATGTATAAGCCAGTGAGATAGCGTCCACTATCCACCTGGAAAGGCTATGTTTCGAGGCAGCTAGACCTTTAGATCGGCCACCAAATGAAACAAATAGCTGTCCTGACCGTCTGAAAGCAGCCGAACGTTCCACGTAAATTCTAAGGGCCCTAACCAGGCAAAGGAGATTCACGTCAGACTCGCTGTCAGATCCGAAGAGAGAATGTCAGATTGAAGAGGCGGTGGTACCAGTACCAGTCGGTCGCCTTCCAAGGTTTCAGAGCTGCAACGCATTTCTGATTGACCCTGAGGCGAAACAGATCGGAGGCCCAGGCTCGAGACGGCACTCGTGCTTTCAGCCACCACTGCAGTGGGCGCATGCGAAGCAGACCCAGCTGGAGTACTGATGACGATGAGGCCATGAGGCCCAGCATTTTCTGAAATCTCTTGAGCGGGACTATAGTGCCGCAATGTTCAGTATGCGCTCTAGGCGATAGTCGCGCTGTCATTGACAGCGAGTTCAGCTCTGTGCAGAGAAAGGATATTTCCTGGCTGGGGGACAGCGAGCTCTTCGCCCAATTGACTGTGAGACCAAGATTCTCGAGGTGTTCGAGTAATATGGTCCTCTGTTCTATGAGCTCTGAATGAGATCGAGCTAGAATCAGCCAATCGTCCAAATAGTTCAAAGCTCGCATGCCCTGAAGTTTCAGGGGCGCGAGAGCCGCGTCCATGTACATCATAATATACAGGATGCCAGGGACAGGCCGAACGGTAGGACTGTGTATTGATATGCCTGGCCCTCGAAGGCGAATCTCAAAAATCGCCTGTGACGAGAGAATGTCAGACTCGCTGTCAGATCCACAGAGACTTGTGCTCTGAAAGGAGTGGCAAGACTCATGTCTTGGTTTGAGGATGACCTTGGAGTCATTAGGCCCAAACTCAAGGCACGACGCACTAACAGAAAGTGCGTGTAAGTCACCCACCAGCTTGACTGAGGCGATAGCCACCAGAAAGGCGGTTTTCAATGAGAGATACTTAAGGTCCACAGACTGTAGAGGTTCAAAAGGGCCACCCTTCATGGCCTCCAGGACCAAGGAAATGTCCGAGGGGGGGCGAGGAGGGTTCATCCTTCTAGCTCCCCTGAGGAAGCGGACTACAAGGTCGTTCCTACCCAGTGACTGGCCATGCGAATGTTTGACAAACGCAGCAATAGCCATCACATATACCTTGAGCATGGATGGGGATCTACCCTTATCCAAGAGCTCCTGTAGGAAGGAGAGAACCTCCGACACCCCACAATCTTGTGGATCCAGGTTGCGAGCTGAGCACCAACCTGAGAACACTGACCACTTGGAAGCATAAAGCCGTCTAGTAGAGGGCGCTCTAGCTTGCGTAATCGTGTTTAACACTCCGTCGGGGAGACTGACGGGTACCCGTTGATGGCCCACACATGCAGAGCACAAAGCTCGGGTCGTGGGTGCCAAATCGTACCCCCGGCCTGTGAGAGGAGATCTCTCCTCAACGGGACAGGCCACGGAGGCAAGCTCTGAAGCTGCATCAGCTCCGGAAACCAAACTTGGTTCGGCCAGAACGGAGCTACTAGAAGTACACAGGAACCGTTCTCCCTTATACGCTTGATTACCTGTGGTAACAGCATGATCGGAGGGAAAGCATAGAGAGGGCGGCTGGGCCAGTGATGGGCCAGCGCGTCCTTGTTCTTTGTGAAGCATATTGGACACTGAGCGTTGTCTTGAGACGCAAAGAGGTCGACTTCTGCTGTGCCAAATGTGTCCCACAACAGCTGAACTGTCTGAGGGTGGAGGGACCATTCCCCTGGGGGAACGTTGTCCCTGGACAGCCTGTCTGGACCCACATTAAGATGGCCTGGCACATGCGCCGCTCTCAGCAAGAGTAGGTTGCGCTGAACCCATACAAGGATGCGTTCTGCCAGTGCATGAAGGTTCCGTGATCTCAGACTGCCCTGGCGATTTATGTAGGAAACCACCGACATGTTGTCCGTGCGGACAAGGACATGGTGGCCCTTTAGAAGGGGAAGGAAGAACCGCAAGGGGTTCTCGACCGCCTTCATCTCTAGACAGTTTATGTGCAAGCTCTTTTCTTGGCTTGACCACAGGCCAAAAGTCGGTCTGCCCTCATAGAGGGCGCCCCAGCCCGAATTGGAGGCGTCTGTCGAAACCACTATCAGTTTAGAGATTACTCCCAGGTTTACACCTGTCTGATACCAGTCGACCGCCTTCCAGGGCTCCAGAGTTGTGACACAGTTCTGAGTTACCTTGAGACGTAAACGACCGGATGCCCATGCTCGACGCAGGACCCACGTCTTCAGCCAGTGCTGTAAAGGGCGTATGCGAAGCAGACCTAAACGAAGAAATTATTAAGTTGTGAATGGACTGTGTGTTTGGCATGCGTTTTTTAATAGAAAATTGCATACTTCACCTCCAATTGTCATGTTAAGGACAACATTATTGTTTTTTAGTCTTGGAACCTATTTTATTGGACTCCTTGACCACAAAAATGTACCCGTTGATACCAAATTTGTCATTATAGCTATACCAGAAGCAAAGATATGGGCCTCTCAAGTATGGTCGGTGGCCATTTTTAAAAAATGTGCGTATATAAGATACAAAATGTGATCTCACTTGTGTCTTAGGATAAATGTATTTCTATGGCCCTAAGGTACTTCCATACCAAAGGGGACCTTTGCATCATGACTTGAAGTCAAAAGTCACTTAACCTCCCTACTACATCATAAAAGTGCATCTATCCATCATAAAAGTGCATCTGTCCATCATAAAAGTGCATCTATCCATCATAAAAGTGCATCTGTCCATCATAAAAGTGCATCTGTCCATCATAAAAGTGCATCTATCCATGATTAAAGTGCATCTGTCCATCATAAAAGTGCATCTATCCATCATAAAAGTGCATCTGTCCATCATAAAAGTGCATCTGTCCATCATAAAAGTGCATCTGTCCATCATAAAAGTGCATCTGTCCATCATAAAAGTGCATCTATTCATGATAAAAGTGCATCTGTCCATCATAAAAGTGCATCTATTCATGATAAAAGTGCATCTATTCATCATAAAAGTGCATCTATTCATTATAAAAGTGCATCTATCCATCATAAAAGTGCATCTATCCATCATAAAAGTGCATCTATCCATGTCTATCCATCATAAAAGTGCATCTATCCATCATAAAAGTGCATCTATTCATGATAAAAGTGCATCTATTCATGATAATAGTGCATCTGTCCATCATAAAAGAGCATCTATCCATCATAAAAGTGCATCTATTCATGATAAAAGTGCATCTATCCATCATAAAAGTGCATCTATTCATCATAAAAGTGCATCTATCCATCAGAAAAGTGCATCTGTCCATCATAAAAGTGCATCTATCCATCATAAAAGTGCATCTATTCATCATAAAAGTGCATCTGTCCATCATAAAAGTGCATCTATCCATGATAAAAGTGCATCTATCAATCATAAAAGTGCATCTGTCCATCATAAAAGTGCATCTATTCATCATAAAAGTGCATCTATCCATCATAAAAGTGCATCTATCCATCATAAAAGTGCATCTATTCATGATAAAAGTGCATCTGTCCATCATAAAAGTGCATCTATCCATCATAAAAGTGCATCTATCCATCATAAAAGTGCATCTATTCATCATAAAAGTGCATCTGTCCATCATAAAAGTGCATCTATCCATCATAAAAGTGCATCTATTCATCATAAAAGTGCATCTGTCCATCATAAAAGTGCATCTATCCATGATAAAAGTGCATCTATCAATCATAAAAGTGCATCTGTCCATCATAAAAGTGCATCTATTCATCATAAAAGTGCATCTATCCATCATAAAAGTGCATCTGTCCATCATAAAAGTGCATCTATTCATGATAAAAGTGCATCTATTCATCATAAAAGTGCATCTGTTCATCATAAAAGTGCATCTGTCCATCATAAAAGTGCATCTATTCATGATAAAAGTGCATCTATCCATCATAAAAGTGCATCTGTTCATCATAAAAGTGCATCTATTCATGATAAAAGTGCATCTATTCATGATAAAAGTGAATCTATCCATCATAAAAGTGCATCTATTCATGATAAAAGTGCATCTATCCATCATAAAAGTGCATCTGTCCATCATAAAAGTGCATCTATCCATCATTTAAGTGCATCTATCCATCATAAAAGTGCATCTATTCATGATAAAAGTGCATCTATTCATGATAAAAGTGCATCTATTCATGATAAAAGTGCATCTATCCATCATAAAAGTGCATCTATTCATGATAAAAGTGCATCTGTTCATCATAAAAGTGCATCTGTCCATCATAAAAGTGCATCTATTCATGATAAAAGTGCATCTATCCATCATAAAAGTGCATCTGTTCATCATAAAAGTGCATCTATTCATGATAAAAGTGCATCTATTCATGATAAAAGTGCATCTATCCATCATAAAAGTGCATCTATTCATGATAAAAGTGCATCTATCCATCATAAAAGTGCATCTATCCATCATAAAAGTGCATCTGTCCATCATAAAAGTGCATCTATCCATCATTTAAGTGCATCTATCCATCATAAAAGTGCATGAACATTTTGAGTGAACTACTCCTTTAAAATAAGTTAAACTCGTCTCTTGTGCCTCCTCCGTCTCGCGTTTCTAACAGTAAACATGTCCTGGCTTCAGTCTGATGATCTGATGATGTGCAGAGGTCATGAACTCTGACCCCGTGATCAGCTGGAGGCCGTTCTCCGTTCCCGCGTCTCCAGATCCAGATCCGCCTGTTATGATTCGCAATATCTTCATGGAATTCTCTTCAAAGCGGCGCTGATGGATGGAGTCCGACTCGGCCGTGTTGTTTTGCTCTGACAGTAACGTCTCCTGGCGTCTCCCGCACAGGGAACTTTATTACTCTTCCAACCACAATACTAAATACATGTCAGCGCGGGAACCCGAACCCGAGACGGGCTTTGATCTGCGGAGATTCATGCGCGCGCTGGAGGTGACGGCAGGCGTGTAAGAGTAGTGTGTGTGTGTGTGTGTGAGGCCACCCATCGCTCCCCAAACAGCCTCTTTCAGCGGCACACTGACTCATTTACTCCCACTACATTTATTTGTGCTGCAGTGTTTACGTTGAGCGAAGCCGAACTGAGAGACGAGGCGTTACGAGTTTCTCAAGCTACGCCGTGTTTTCTCTCTCGTGGCTCATGAGATGTTGGTGATTTATGGACCCGGCCTTTGTTTTATTTTGATGTTGCGGTGGAAAGAATTAATAAAATGCACCCATCTCAGCACTTCCCCCCCGAGACCAAAGAGTCAAATATTTGAAGGCATTTTTCTCAGTTTAAGCAGAGCTCGATCCAGCGGACTGAGGTTAGGTGGTTTAAAGCTAGTTCACACCAAGGATGACAACGATGAAGATATAGTTCTAAATATATAACAGAGAACTGAGTCCACAAGATGAACGATATCGTCGGAAGAGCGATTTTCCCCCCAGCTATTGAAGATGAAAACACTGACAGCCAATCAGAACCCATCCTGCTTTAACGAGCTCGAGCGTTTAAAACCACAGATGACAAACAGCGCTTATAATAACCAGAACCAAATCATGCATTGGTGTGGACAGTAATTTAATTATAGTTATTGTTCTTGGTCTGGTTACCTGCTCACATGAATCTAATCAGGAAACATCTGTTTTCTTTTATGCAGGATTTCTGAAATTATTACTCTATTTGTTTGTATTATATCGAAGTATCTCATCTTTGATCACCAAAATGACATATTTAAATGTTTTTTCCTTGATAAAAATTCGTAATGCCTTAAAATATCTTGAATGTAACTCGACACCCTCGCTTCATTTAGTATGCGTGGTTCTATGAATATGCAGATGAGCCCCGCCTCCACTCACTCCCTCAGCTCAGAGATCCACTGGTTGACGATCACACGTTGATCTGATTGGTTACAAGGTCGTTTGTGACGTCAGAAACACCAGCGATTTCAAACCGTGTTTTTGAGACTGTCTTTGGTTCACTGCAGTTTTAAGGAGGAAATACTCAGCAATGCTGTCGACTGCAGGGACTGCAAAACAATCATAATGTTTTCTGAAGTCTTAAAGTGAAAATAAACCGAGAGTAAGAATTCTACATGTGCTATTACATTATTTAATGTCAAAATAAACTGTTTTTAATAGTTTTTTAATATAAATTAATGATTTAATATATTTTATAATGGATTCACATATTTGATAGTCCGTTATAAATGCACATTTCCTTTTAGAAACATTATAGAAACAGTTTTTTATTGTATTTTTTAGTTTGATCAAGAAAGAGTGAATGATGTGATAGAGTCGCTTTGGATAAAACTTTAATAAAAGGCTAAATGATTACATGTAAATGTGAATATATAATGGCTTGAGGTGTGTTATAGTATATTGTGTGTGTTCCAGGTCGTGTATCTTCTACCGGGCGTGCTCCGACATCCCTCGAGGGACCGAGCTGCTGGTGTGGTACAACGACAGCTACACGTCCTTCTTCGGGATCCCCCTGCAGTGCGTCGCACAAGACGAAAACCGTGAGTCGCAATCTCCTCTGTACAGGGGTTAAATAAGTCTCGGATGTCTCCAGAGTGTGTGTGTGAAGTTTGAGCTATAAATACCCCACAGATATATTTTTATAGCATGTTAAAATTGTCACTTTTCGAGGGTGAACAAAAACGCGTCGTTTCGTGTGTGTCCCTTTAAATGCAAATGAGCTGCTGCTCCCGGCGCAGAGGGCGGAGCTTCAAGAGCTTGTGTGTGTGTGTGTGTGTGTGTGTGTGTGTGTGTCAGACCCCCCTCAGATCTGATCTGTGCCCCCTCAGTTTCATTTTTATATTCATGGTTACAAATAATATGTTTAATCTTTTGAGCGGTACGGGATTGGTATTCCTGTGGCACTGAGCCAGAGACGGGCGAGCTCAGCGCTGTCATATATCACAACTATGCAGTGTTTTCAACCTCAGAATGTTTATTTTAGGTTTCAGACATTTAAATACACGTAAGCACTAGTAAAACAATACATTTGGAGTTTGTAAAATACACACGGATGTCTGTGGAAGCAGCAATAACAACCTATTCAAATATAATTTGCCGACGCGTGTTATTCATATCAGACAAACAGTGGAAGTGACTATAAAGTTAACTCTATTCTTCTCACAGTTCACCGGACACTTTCTTACGTGTGTTTCGGGAGAAACTGATGACTGACAGGACTCTGAACTGCGGCGCAAACAAACATGGCGGCGCCCATCTCACGTTATAGATCAAGATTATTTATAAAGGTTTTTAAACGACCAAACACACTCTCTTACACATGTTTGAGAATCGGAATATCAGATAGTTGATGACATGGTAAGCAAGTTTGTGAATATTTTGAATAAAAACGGAAAACTGAAATAAAAGTGATTAGGGGTGTGACGAGACGCTTATCTCACGAGACGAGACGAGATTTTTGCACAATTTTTCAGAAATCCTCAATGACAAAATTCATGACTGGAAAAATAGTATGCAGGTGCATTCTGCAATGTTTAACTAATAATCTTATAAAGTAGACCTGAAATGACATGCATTATGAGTGTGAATTATCAAATGCATTGAAAGAAAACAATATACAAGCACTGTAAAAGGTTTTTATTGACTGGCTTTTCTCTGTATGATTTCACATGAGTCTCTTCAGCCCTTACTGTACATTTAAGAGCTTTCAGAACTTCTGATTGAGGCTGTGTGTGTGTGTGACCTCCTGACTGCACTCCTTAAAGTCTTAAGCGCAAACAATAAGTGCAAGTGCAATCATAATCAAAGTTAGCACACAGTTATAATTGTTTTCAAATTGCTGTTTTATTTTGCACCGGCGGTTATAGGGTTAATCCGGGTAGAGAGAAACGAGGCTGGTGTGTTTGTCTCTACAGTTGTTCTTGCGTTCCGATTATAAGTTCAGAAACAGAGCCTCCCTTGTCTGTTGTCCTTAAAACATTACAGTAACGTTACTCTCTCAATATATTCGAAGTGCAAACTGAGACCATAGCCGCAAATAAACAGTCCAGAGATGGGTATTAGGAGACGGACTATTGTATGTTCGCGGCCTAATTTGTGCGCAATGCACAGCAGGGAGCTTGTGTTTTACTTTCACTTTCGTGATCGCGCGTGTGACGACCCTAAGTGTACTCCTTACCTGATGGTGGCAGTCTGTGGGAGTTTTGGGTCACTCCCCCATGCTAATTGTTAATTAGGAAATTTAGTATTTAAGTGTTTGAGTTTTTCATTTGGTTAGCACTCTCTGTGGGATAGTTTCTCACAGGAGTTGCTCTTTACATCGCATTGCTTTTCTTTCTTATACTTATCATTATATCATGTAGCTTTAATATTTTGTTGTAGTTATTCTGTTTATTTCTTTGTTTCTTTATTTTCCCTAGACTTATGTTTGTTATGAGTGGTTATTGTTATGTTTGTTAAAGAGAATAAAATCTTTCTTTTCATTCATTGAACATTTGAGTTGATCCCTCTTTCATGTTGCGGCTTTAAACGAGTTGGTCGTAACATGAAATTGGGGGCTCGTCCGGGATAGCTACATGTATAAGTGAGTACTCTGTGCAGGGAGCAGCGGTGCTGAGCGCGCATTCTACAATAATACATTTATCAGACGTTAGTCTACTATGTTGCGCAACGAATCCTCCGCCATCCTCACGCGATCAGTGAACTGTGATTCGTGTTGCACTGATTGCAACGGCAACTCGTGCTGGATGAGCAGAGCAGACTTTTACATTATTTTATAATGGTTTTTATTTTTTTTATAAAAACAGCAAAACGATAGTTTAGGCGAATGTGAGTGTAGCGGTGGAATATTCTATGGTAATCTCCCCCTCACGCTCAGTCATGGCGATATCGCGAGACAGCTTTTCACTCGACGAGAAATCTCGTCATGTTTTAGTCTCGCGAGATCTCGTCACACCCCTAAAAGTGATACATCTGTCATACAGTGTTATTAATGGTGTGTATCCATCCAGCGACTTGGTACGACAGCGGTTTGGAACAGAAACTAATAATTGTGTATTTTGTGATAACAATGAAACTACTGATCATTTATTTTTCCATTGTATGCATTCTGAAGCGTTATGGCTTGATATACATGACTGGCTTCACCCAAAGGTTTTCCATCTCAAGAACTTTTGTCTGAAGGACATTATCTATGGTTGTGTCATGGACAACAACAAAGATGACTTTCTGATTAATAACATTGTCATGCTTGGGAAATTTTATATCCACAAGTCAAAGTTTTTGAAAGTGAATCCTAAGTTTTGTGTATTTCATAATGAGTTTCTTTCGTTTACAAAAGCCCTTAATGTTATGAAAACAAAGAATGCAATGAGACTTTTTAGTATACTAGCAGAATATGATTTGGAAAAAAAACCCTAGCCTTTTTCCTTTTTTTTTTAAAAAATTTCCTTGTATCCTTCTTTTTGATATGCACTTGATCCTTTCTGTAGTATGTGACAACTTAATGCCATGTTTTTGTAAATGTATTTTTTGTCATAAAAAAAAAAAAAAAAAAAAAAAAACATGAACACATATAATTACAATAGAGTCAATAAACACTAAATTACTTTAAAAAAAAATCATACAGTGTTATTGTGGCTGCGGTGTGTCACGTGACACGCGTGACGCGTCGCCATGGAAACATTAAGGAGGAACGTTCTAAAATAACTCACTCTGTGGAGACAATTAGAATATTTTAAACTTAAGCGTGAAAGGGTTAATATATGCATAATAAATGACGCTGGCTTATCGGTTTATGACGCGGTTACCTGTGCAGTTGCAGATGAGTGTTTTAGGGAGCGCTGCATTTAAAAATCTGTCGTTCCAAAGTGAGCTGTTCATTGATGGTATAAAGTTAAGCCCCCTTAACAACTTCATGTCATCCTGCAGCCAGGCCTGTAAATTGCGTTCCCGGGGGCGGGGCTTATGTAAATTCTAGGGTTAGTGATGTCTAACCCCGGAGGAAGCTCGTGTAGTTCTACCAGCTGTGTGTTGTACTCCTTAAAAAGCAATTTCTGTAAAAGAAAAAATCTCCCTTTGCTTTGAACCAGGGGCGTCACTAGGATTTTAATTTTAGGGGGCCTAAGCCCCCAATATGATTTAAAAAAAAATATAAAAAAAGGTAACACTTTAGTTTAGGATCTAAAGATCACTATTAACCATTTTCATTACGATGCAAAGGCACGGTTTTATAATAACTGTGGTCCCAAATGGGAGGTAGGGACATTTTTGATTTCTCTGATCTACACATGTGCATTTTAAGATGTTCTGAAGGCCAAAAAACTTGGATAGTGGGCAGCTGATTATTTTTCTCTTCTCATCAGCATCACACTCTTTTTCTCTTTGTTTTTCTCTTGCCCTGTCTCTTCCCCTCCTAAAGCTGAGCTTTGACTGATATAGGCTTTTCATTTTTGTCTGTCAGTGAAGAAAGTAAACATAGGGTCAACTGATAGGTTGATTTTGCCTATGAATCCTTTTCTCAGACGCGTTTATTTACTGAAAGCTACTAAAGGTAATTAAGTTTATTAAATGCATTCACAATATGTAGGCTACACATTTATTATTGATCTTATGCCTAATACAGGGCCGTATGGGCTTTATAATCACAGAGGTCCTAAATTTGAGGTTGGTAGGGGGTTCAAATTTTTTATATGTGCATTTCAAGACGTTTGAAGACCAAAAAAAAGGATAAGAAATAGCTTTAAAACCATGTCAGTGGGCAGTAGATTATTTGTCAATACCTGCTCTCTTCTCATCTCCATCACTCTTTCTTTTTTTCTCAGTCTCTTCATCCCTTTCTCTTCCCCTCCTAAAGCTGAGCTTTTTTAATTTACTAAAGGCTACAATTTGTATTATATCCTCAATATGTACACATTCATTATTAATCTTGTGCCGAACATGATGAAAACGGCTTTGTTAATGTTTCTTGTAAACTAATTATTACATTACATGAGTCACGTTACATAGGCCTATTTTCAGTTCAAAATGGCGAAATTAGACAAAACTATATTAGTTTGCTTGATTATTTTTTGTCATTCGTTTAACATTTATGACCTAAAAAAAGTAAAATATGAAATGTTAAGTTTAGCAACTTACATCTTATCTCGCACTTGACCCTAAACTGACGCGTCGAGTCGCACTGTTAAAATTCGCGCTCAGCAGCGTCTGTGAACATAAAGCCCGCCTACTTTGATTTGATTGGTCATCTCAAAAATTCTGACACTGACGAGCAGTGACAGACCAATGAGGCTCAGATGAACACACATGAACACACACACACACACACACCCTGTCCTCTGTTTCTGACGTGCTCTCTGCTCGGCGCCGCTGCGGATTGAAGATGAAGAACGCGCTGAATCTGATAATAACAAGACTGAAGCGAACACGAATTTCTGTAGCCTACATTAATCTCACATTTTTAGGGGGGCTAGGCAGAAGTTTAGGGGCTGAAGCCTCCCTAAAAAGGGCCTAGCGACGCCCCTGCTTTGAACTTTGAGCCTTGTAACTTTGCAGATGTTGTTTATCCTCAAACATCAACATTACACACTAACTAAAGTCAGAAAAGTGAATTCATAATCAACCGCCCGTTTAACATGTTGTGCTGGGACTGGTGGTTCAGGCTCTTCTCTTCTCACCGGTTCTGCTCAGTGTTCCAGCGTTTGAATGTTGTTGCTCACTCTGCTCTCGGTGGACAGCGGCGCTCGCTCCTCTCAGCGGAGGCTTGTGGACACGAGAGCGAGTCTGACGGCTCAGTGTTTACAGCACACACACTTTATGAGTTCAGGCTGGTCATGTTCTGTTTAGACAGCGCTCTTTCCTTCCAAACGCTCGAGTGCATGATGGGATGCATGTGAGACGATCTTCAGCGCTCGCATTATCCAGACGATCTTCAGCGCTCGCATTATCTCATCAGAAACACTAAAAAGACGTTTTTGAAATGCTGTGGTTTGCACTGCAAAAATGATTTTGTCTCGTTTTCCAGCACAGATAAACATTCTTAAATCAAGAGACATTTACTGGAGAAGCAAAATGACTGAAGATATAAAGTCTGAGAAGTGAGTTTGTGCTTAAAACAAGAACAAATATCTGACAATGGAGTCATAAAAATACACTTAATTCAAAGAGAAAAATAAGATTATTTTCTGACTCCATTGTCAGATATTTGTTCTTGTTTTAAGCACAAACTCACTTTTCAGACTTTATATCTTCAGTCATTTTGCTTCTCCAGTAAATGTGAATCCTTCATAATTCAGTTGTCCATAAATCAGTTGATTTTTCAATTTTGCAAAATTAATCAATTATGAAATTATTTGCAACTTTGCAAGTGTCAATGTTGCAAAGTTCATTTAATTATGATCAATAATGGTGTCAATGTTTCTTCAATTATAAAACAAATTCAATTCAGTTCAATTTAAGACAATAGTATCATGATTTAGTTCAATATTGATTCAATTCATTCAATATTGATTCAATTCAGTTCAGTAACAGTGTCAATGTTGCAAAGTTCATCAGTTGTGAAACTCCTCCAGCGAGACAGGACGGTTGGCAGAGCCTCACCTGAAGGGTTCATGAATGAGTGTTTGAGACGCTGATGTGTTTTCAGAGTGAACCGCTCGTCTACGACTGACGCTCAGCGGTGATCAGACGACTTCTGGAGATTCATAACTCACTCTGCATTGAATGCGCCGGCTTTATTAAATCACAGCGCTCTCACATGTCTCGTCTTACAGTGGGCTAATTCAGTGTTTATGTGCACAGCGTGCCGCGTGATGAAGAATGTGGAGCGGGGTTTGATGATGGACGTGTTTCTGTTTCGCTGTCTGACTGTAAACCGCCTGAAGATGTCAGTTCCTGATTATTTAGTTCAATCATTTAAAACACTTTAAAACAAAATAATTATCTTTAGCTTTCCTGGAGTTCAAACAGTGGAGCGCTGGCGCTTGCAACGCCAAGGTCATGGGTTCGATTCCCAGGGAAAGCAAGAACTGATAAGAGTGTAAATGTGGAGCTTGAAGTGCAAAGTAAGTCGCCAAATGCATAAATGTAAAATATTATTTTATTTAAAAAATAAAACAATATTTATTTAAAAATAAATAAAAATAAAATGTATTTATTTAAAAATAATTAAACAAATAAAAATAAAATGAATGTATTAATACAATTTATAAAATGTATTTAAATGATTAATTAATTTATTTTTAATTAATAAACTTATTTATGAAATATATTGCATTCATGATTAAAATTATAGTTATTTACAAATTTAAAAAAAATTCAAAGAAATTAATAATTGCAAAAACATTTTAAATTGATCAAAAGTGACAGTAAAGAAATTTATGTTACAAAAGATTATATTTCAAATAAATGCTGTTCTTTTCAACTTTCTATTCATGAAAGAATCATGAAAAATAAAATGCATCACGTTTTCCACAAAAAAACACACTGATAATAATCATAAATGTTTCTTGAGCATCAGATCCTCATATTAGAGTGATTTCTGGAGGATCATGTGACACTGAAGACTGGAGTAATGATGCTGAAAATCACAGGAATAAATTACACTTTACTGTATAATCATATATAAAACAGATGATTTACATTATAATAATATTACACAGTTTTTACTGTATTTTTTATCTAATAAACGCAGCTTTGGTGAGCAGAAGAGACTCTCACCAATCATTAAACTGATGTGTCGCTGATCATGTGACTCTTTGTGAAGATTTGGTTGGATCGTCTGAGATCATGCCGCTGTCATTAATGTTCTTAATTGAGTGTGCGCTTCATCGTTCACTCAGATGTGTGTGTTCTCTGATGTGTGTGTTCTCAGATGTGTGTGTTCTCTGATGTGTGTGTTGGCAGTGAACGTGCCGTCGACTGTAATGGAGGCCATGACGCGTCAGGACTCGCTCCAGCCCTTCAGCAAGAGCCCGAAGCCCTCGCCGCTGGCCCTGCGCTCCACAGTGTTCCCCCAGTCGCCCTGCTCGCGCAGCTTCTCTCTGATGGACAAGACGGGCCACATCGAGTCCAGTTTGAACCAGCTGAGCGTGAAGAACCAGCGCGTGCTGGCCAGTCCCACGTCCACCAGCCAGTTGAGCTCGGAGTTCAGCGACTGGCACCTGTGGAAGTGTGGCCAGTGTTTCAAGACCTTCACGCAGAGAATCCTGTTGCAGATGCACGTGTGCACGCAGAACCCCGACAGGTACCGCTAACTCCTTTGTTTATTTCTATAGCGCTTTACACAGTCGAGATCGTTTCAAAGATGATTCACAGTGATAAACAGTAACAGTGTCAATGCTGCAAAGTTCATCAATTATTAAATCCAATTTCAGCTGTAAAGCAGCTCTGCAGAAGACAATAGAGTCATAATTCAGATCAATTCAGTTCAATGTTGATTCAATTCAATAGTGTCAATTTTGCAAAATTAATCAATTATGAAAAATTCTATTGGTCAATGACAGGTTCAATGTTGCAAAATTGATTAATTGTGAAAAATTCAATTCAGTTCAATAACGGGGTCAATGTTGCAAAGTTCATCAATTATTAAATCCAATTTCAGCTGTAAAGCAGCTCTACAGAAGACAATAGAGTCATAATTCAGATCAATTCAGTTCAATGTTGATTCAATTCAATGGTGTAAATTTTGCAAAATTCATCAATTATGAAAAATTCTATTCAGTTCAATGACAGGTTCAATGTTGCAAAATTGATTAATTGTGAAAAATTCAATTCAGTTCAATAACAGGGTCAATGCTGCAAAGTTCATCAATTATTAAACAAATTTAATTCAGTTAATGTCAAGAAAATAGTGTCATAATTCAGTTCAATATTGATTCAATTCATTCAATGTTGATTCAGTTCAGTAACTGTCAATTTTGCAAAATTCATCAATTATGAAAAATTCAATTCAGTTCAATGTTGATTCAATTGAGTTCAATAATGCTGTAAATGTTGCAAAATTAATCAATTATGAAATAAATTCAACTATAAAGCAGCTCTACAGAAGGCAATAGTGTCATAATACAGTTTAATTCAATTCAGTGTTGATTTAATTCAGTTCAATAACGGTGTCAATGTTGCAAAGTTCATCAGTTATTAAAAACAAATTCAATTCAGTTTAAGAATGGTGTAAATGTTGCAAAATTCATCAATTATTAAATGAATTCAGAAGACAATGGTGTCAAAATTCTGTTTAATGTTGATTCAATTCAGAAATGTCCTGTTGCATTCTAAATGTTGTCAATAAGTGTCAATTTTGCAAAATTCATCAATTATGAAAAATTCTATTCAGTTCAATGACAGGTTCAATGTTGCAAAATTGATTAATTGTGAAAAATTCAATTCAGTTCAATAACGGCGGGGTCAATGTTGCAAAGTTCATCAATTATTAAATCCAATTTCAGCTGTAAAGCAGCTCTACAGAACACAATAGAGTCATAATTCAGATCAATTCAGTTCAATGTTGATTCAATTCAATAGTGTCAATTTTGCAAAATTAATCAATTATGAAAAATTCTATTCAGTTCAATGACAGGTTCAATGTTGCAAAGTTCATCAATTATTAAACAAATTTAATTCAGTTAATGTCAAGAAAATAGTGTCATAATTCAGTTCAATATTGATTCAATTCATTTAATGTTGATTCAGTTCAGTAACTGTCAATTTTGCAAAATTCATCAATTATGAAAAATTCAATTCAGTTCAATGTTGATTCAATTGAGTTCAATAATGCTGTAAATGTTGCAAAATTAATCAATTATGAAATAAATTCAACTACAAAGCAGCTCTACAGAAGGCAATAGTGTCATAATACAGTTTAATTCAATTCAGTGTTGATTTAATTCAGTTCAATAACGGTGTCAATGTTGCAAAGTTCATCAGTTATTAAAAACAAATTCAATTCAGTTTAATAATGGTGTAAATGTTGCAAAATTCATCAATTATTAAATGAATTCAGAAGACAATGGTGTCAAAATTCTGTTTAATGTTGATTCAATTCAGAAATGTCCTGTTGCATTCTAAATGTTGTCAATAAGTGTCAATTTTGCAAAATTCATCAATTATGAAAAATTCTATTCAGTTCAATGACAGGTTCAATGTTGCAAAATTGATTAATTGTGAAAAATTCAATTCAGTTCAATAACGGCGGGGTCAATGTTGCAAAGTTCATCAATTATTAAATCCAATTTCAGCTGTAAAGCAGCTCTACAGAACACAATAGAGTCATAATTCAGATCAATTCAGTTCAATGTTGATTCAATTCAATAGTGTCAATTTGGCAAAATTCATCAATTATGAAAAATTCTATTCAGTTCAATGACAGGTTCAATGTTGCAAAATTGATTAATTGTGAAAAATTCAATTCAGTTCAATAACGGCGGGGTCAATGTTGCAAAGTTCATCAATTATTAAATCCAATTTCAGCTGTAAAGCAGCTCTACAGAACACAATAGAGTCATAATTCAGATCAATTCAGTTCAATGTTGATTCAATTCAATAGTGTCAATTTGGCAAAATTCATCAATTATGAAAAATTCTATTCAGTTCAATGACAGGTTCAATGTTGCAAAATTGATTAATTGTGAAAAATTCAATTCAGTTCAATAACGGCGGGGTCAATGTTGCAAAGTTCATCAATTATTAAACAAATTTAATTCAGTTGATGTCAAGAAAATAGTGTCATAATTCAGTTAAATATTGATTCAATTGATTCAATGTTGATTCAATTGAGTTCAATAATGTTGTAAATGTTGCAAAATTAAATATTTGATCTTATTTAACTATAAAGCAGCTCTACAGAAGGCAATAGTGTCATAATACAGTTTAATTCTATTCTGTGTTGATTTAATTTCAGTTCAACAGTATCAATGTTGCAAAATTCATCAAATATGAAAAAATCTATTCAGTTTAATAATGGTGTCAGTGTTCCAAAGTTAATACATTTTGAAACAAATTCAATTCAGTTTAATTATGGTGTCAATGTTGCAAAGTTCATCAATTATGAAACAAATCCAATTTCAGCTGTAAAGCAGCTCTACAGAAGACAATAGAGTCATAATTCAGATCAATTCAGTTCAATGTAGATTCAATTCAATTCAGTAGTGTTAATTTAGCAATTATGATAAATTCAGTTTAATAACAGGTTTAATGTTGCAAAATTGATCAATTATGAAAAATTAAATTCAGTTCAATAACAGGGTCAATGTTGCAAAGTTCATCAGTTATGAAACTAATAGAAAATAGTGTCATAATCACAGTTCAATGTTGATTCAATTCAGTTCCATAGTGTCAATGTTGCCAAAATCATCAATTATGAAACAAATTCAATTCAGTTCAATAACAGCATATGTGTGGCATAATTAATCAATTATTAAACAATTAAGTTCAACTATAAAGCAGCTCTACAGAAGAAAATAGTGTCACAATTCAGTTCAATTTGATTCAACTCAGTTAAATAACAGTGGCAATGTTGCAAAATTAATCAATTATGAAATGAATTCAACTAAAAAGCAACTCTATAGAATGCAAAGGTGTCATAATTCAGTTCAATGTTGATTCAATTCAGTTCAATAGTGTCAATGTTGCAAAATTAATCAATTATGAAAAATCTAATTCAGTCCAATAACAGTTCCAATACTGAAAAATTAATATATTATGAAATAAATTCAATTCAGTTCAATAACTGGGTCAATACTGAAAAATGTATATATTATGAAATAAATTCAATTCAGTTCAATAACTGGGTGAATGTTGCCAAACTCATCAATTATGATAAACTCAATTCAGTTCAATGTTGATTCAAATTAATTAAATGATGGTGTCAATATTGTTAAATTCCTCAATTATGATTAATATCCAATTCAGTTTAATGTTGATTCAATTCAGTTCAATAACTGGGTCAATGTTGCTAAAATCATCAATTATGAAACAAATTCAATTCAGTCCAATAACAGCATATGTGTGGCATAATTAATCAATTATTAAACAATTAAGTTCAACTATAAAGCAGCTCTACAGAAGAAAATAGTGTCACAATTCAGTTCGATTTGATTCAACTCAGTTCAATAACATTGGCAACGTTGCAAAATTAATCAATTATGAAATGAATTCAACTAAAAAGCATCTCTATAGAATGCAAAGGTGTCATAATTCAGTTAAATTCAGTTCAATGTTGATTCAGTTCAGTTCAATAGTGTCAATGTTGCAAAATTCCTCAATTATGATTAATATCCAATTCAGTTTAATGTTGATTCAATTCAGTTCAATAACTGGGTCAATGTTGCTAAAATCATCAATTATGAAACAAATTTAATTCAGTTCAATAACAGCATAAGTGTGGCAAAATGAATCAATTATTAAACAATTAAGTTCAACTATAAAGCTGCTCTACAGAAGACAATAGTGTCACAATTCAGTTCGATTTGATTCAACTCAGTTCAATAACAGTGGCAATGTTGCAGAATTAATCAATTATGAAATGAATTCAACTAAAAAGCAACTCTATAGAATGCAAAGGTGTCATAATTCAGTTAAATTCAGTTCAATGTTGATTCAATTCAGTTCAATAGTGTCAATGTTGCAAAATTCATCAATTATGAAAAATTTAATTCAGTTCAATAACAGTGGCAATGTTGCAAAATTAATCAATTATGAAATGAATTCAACTAAAAAGCAACTCTATAGAATGCAAAGGTGTCATAATTCAGTTCAATGTTGATTCGGTTCACTTCAATAGTGTCAATGTTGAAGAGCATTGAATGTTTCCAGTCGTTGTAAACGCGACGCTCGCATGTTGAGCCAGAAAACTCTCGCTAAATGACGAAGAGCGTCAGAAGTTTCTGGAAGATTAAGCCGGGATTATTTTCTCGTCTGAATCCAGTTTCTCCTCAGAAAGCAACATGCTTCCCAGAGTGCAACATCTCTAAACCTAATTAAACACGGCTGAGGATGTATTGGAAATTTTTTGCTTAGCTCTATTTTCTCAGACCCATAAATCCGCCGCCGCCGTCACAAAGAAATACCCACTCCAAAGGTGATGCAGAGCAAAACAGATGCCACTTATTCAATAAACTAATATTCATACAGAAGAAAAATGTTTGCGGGATACCCGGGGAGATGAAGTCAATGTGAGGCTTTGTCAATATTCAACTTTATGACCCTGAGGTGCAGATCAGATTTAGCTGAACAAGGCAATCTGGGATGAGCCGGAGTTTGGCCCGGAAGCCGGCGTGACTCTGGGAATCTGTTTTAAATGATCTCACATATGCTTTATGGCCTTTGGCTTATACATATTTATTGATGTTTAGTTTATATGTACATTTTAGAGAGGATAAATCATGGGATCATTGCAAAAAAATCAGTTTGTGCTGATGTGTTGTGCTGAGTCTGTCTGGACTCGAGGTGTTTTTCTTGTTTTTGTTTGCTCACATCCATCACTGCGATGACGGGAAAAGCCCTCGAAAGAGCGATTCATTACGATATCGAGCAGAATTAACCAGCTCAGATAAATATTCTCCTTCTGAAAGAGTAAAGTAAGGCGCTTTTACTGTGCTTTTAGTGCACAGCAGTAAACACATGCTTATAGTGATGTCTCGGTTTGCCCTGTGAAGGGTTTGGAAGCGCAGTATTGGAGATCTGAGGTTATTTATGTCCGAGCCCGTCCTGCAGTAATAAACAATAACCCCACATTAATCACCAGTGCTGCTGTATTAATGCGCACACACATCCATCATCTTAACATATTCACCATCACTGCATCTGCAAACAGAAAAACTTCAGTCACACGCTCGGCTTGATCACAGGAACGCTGTCAGCAAAGCCTCACGCCAGATTTATAACCCTTCAGGAGATCGTCAATTTCCACCTCACTGCATTTTTTCATATATTTTATTTTATTTAACAAATATAATTTTTGTCATTTTTGTAAAATATTTTTTCTTTTTAAATGTTGACATTTTAGATAGATACATAGATTGATATATGACACAATATATTACATGATTTTATATATATATAATTATATATTATATATAATATTATACTAATACTATATATATAAATATATAATAATATTTAAAATATAATATATATTATATCATATTACATTATAAAATATAGATTTTAGATATATAATTATATATTATAAATATATAATTAAATATATTTAATATAACATATATTATATTTTATATATTATACTAATATATAATATATATTTTATTTTTTTATATAATTATAATATATATATATATGTGTGTGTGTCGTATTTTTTAAAAACAAGTTATATATTAAATATTACATTTCTATGGGACAAAAGTAATGAGGGTTCAGAATAAAAAAAGAAAAAATATATAGTATGCATGTTTCTAAAATGAAAAAATATTTGAAAGTTATTTTAGAATTTTAAACATTAATGTTAATGTTAATTAATGTTTCATTTCTTTTTTCTATTTTCTTTCTTTTTCATTATTTTTTTTTTCAATCATTATCATCATAACAGAGATTAAAGTCAGTATAAGACTGTCAGAGGAACTGCTCATCACTTCTTTACGATGTCACAAACTTAAATGTGATTTACAAAAAAGCATTTTAAAAGTCTGTCAGTGATGAGAAGCGTGTCAGTGTTTCCTCACACACACACACACACACACACACACACTGAGACTGAGGCGTGGAATCATCGTTGATCTCAGAGTTTCTTCACTAACGACGAGTCCGGGTCTCTCACGGGTCTCAGATATTGATCGATGTCCCGGAGTGTGTTCTCGCCCCGGTGCTGATGAGGGTCACGCTGCCATGGCAACGCTCCGGGACGTCCCGTGATGTGCGTGTGTGTGTGTGTGTGTGTTTCAGACCGTATCAGTGTGGACACTGCTCTCAGTCGTTCTCCCAGCCGTCGGAGTTGCGTAATCACGTGGTCACACACTCCAGCGACCGGCCCTTCAAGTGCGGATACTGTGGACGAGCGTTCGCCGGCGCGACCACACTCAACAACCACATACGCACACACACCGGGGAGAAGCCTTTCAAGTAAGTAACAGTGAGTACCATCCGTTCCTAGAACCGCATCCTTCTGTTTTACTGTGTTACGCTTAACTCCTGACTCACTTCATGAGAATATTATTATCAACTCTAGTTATTATCAACAACTAGTTGAACAAAACACAACGGCTTCGGGTTACTTACGCTTGTCACACACACACACATACTCACACACACACACACACACACACACACACACACACACACACACACACACACACACACACACACACACACACACACACACACACACACACACTCATACACTAATACACACTCACACTAAAACACACACACACACACACACACACTTACAATAACACACACTCACACTAACACACTAACATACACTCACACACACACACACACACACTCACAGACACACACACACTCACAAACACACGCTCACACACACACACACACACATACACACACTCACACTAACACACACACACTTACACTAACACACACTAACATACACTCACACACACACACACACACACACACACACACATACTCACATACAGACTCACACACACACAAACTTTTATGTTACATTTGATTAATCAATTTGAAAACACTAATATATAATAATATATAACATAATATAATATATAACCTTTTAATTATAGAGTTTTAAATATTTATACATTATATATATATATATATATTCTTTTAAATCTAAAAGTCATGTTTGCAACCTCTTAATTTTTTAAAGTATACATTTTGTAAAAAAAAAAAAAATTTATATATATATATATATAATTAGAATTTGTTTCCTTTTTCAAAAACAAATTTATTTATTTTTTGATAATTTTATTTTAATAGTAATGATTCATAAATGTCTGTTCTGTGTCCCGTCTGGAAACACACGTCATGTTTTTCAGATATTGGTCAATAAAGCTCAACCAAACGCACTAGAGTTCAGATTATGTACAACACAACGAGTGTGTAGATGTGAAACTCTGCGTTACAGAAGCGCTCAGGGTCGCTATGAGAGAACAGAGAGATGATGTTAGTGTGAGTGTCTGCTGTACGTGTGTGTGTGTGTGTGTGTGTGAGCGCTCCTCTGTTCCAGGAACAAATCAAGCGTCTAATAAGCAATCAGCGAAACACACACGTGTCATCAGCGCTTCAGAGACGAAGAGCACAAACACAATCATGAAGCGCCGCAGAAATCTGTCCTCCGTCGATACAGTTATTGAGTTCTCCTGATGGAGCGAGGAGATCGTCCCGTTTAATGCGGCCGTCAGGACATTCATAAACTTCATTTACATCCATGCATTCAGCACTCGCTTCTATCAGTTCTCAAATCAAGATCCTGGAGAATCGCACAAGATATTGAGATATTGATCAGAATATCAGAGTTTATGCTTGAAATGCTTAAAAAAGATCTGCCATCTTGTCCAATAATATCTTGTTTTCCCTTCCTACAAGCATAAACTCATGTTCTCGTCTCATTTCCAGTGTATCTCGTTTTAGATATTACATGTTTAATTTTAAAGTACTTAATTGGCATGATTGTGTTCACATAAGATATTTGCCAACGCATTTACAGGAAAAAAGTCAATGAGTCACAAAAAATAAAATACAAGTAATTAGTTTGTGATTTCTCAAAAGCAAGACTTTATCTTCTCTCTTTTTGCATCGCCAGTAAAAGTATCTCAGATTAAATATTTGTACTGAATGTGAAGTTATATTTACATTATTTACATTTAAACAACGTTCATGCATGACTGAGAATGTGAGAGGAGAATGTTATTTTTTTGTAATATTATATATATTATTTTTAGTATTCCTGTAGTTGAAACAATATTATTTATTTTATATATATATATATCTATATATATATAGTGTATATTTTTTTTATATTATATTTATTTTTTATTGTATTTGATGATTATATATATATATATATATATATATATATTCTCTTTGAAGGACAGAAATAACATTTAGTAATATAATAATACATTTTATTAAATAATTACATTTGTCAGTGTTCCTGTAGCTCACACAGAGCACGCGCTCGCGACACCGAGGTCACGGGTTCGATTCCCAGGGAAAGCATGAAACGCAGTGTAAACCTGAAACCTTCTCTGTTAGAGAGACTCGAACCGTCAGGATAGAGACACGCCTCTGATGAGCTTTTCCTCTTCATCTCGGTGAGTGACAGTGGGTCTGATCCGGGCCCCCAGGGGCCGCTCATCCGCTCACATTATTGACAGGCTCTCAGTTCCTCGTCATCAGGACTCGCAATTACACCTCGCGTTCCTCGCGCTTTCATGTGTCAGATGTGGCTTGCTCTGTTTGACTCGCGTGTGTGTGTGTGTGTGTGTGTGTGTGTGCAGGTGCGAGCGATGCGACCGGAGCTTCACACAGGCCACTCAGCTCAGCCGACACCAGCGGATGCCCAACGAGTGCAAACCCATCAGCGAGAGCAGCGAATCAATCCAGGTGGATTAACTGATTGACCGGCGCGCAATTACACAGCCAGAGAAAATCATGATTAAATGTCACGGACACTTAAGCAAAACCAAAGATTTCCTAAGAGAAACGCTCAATCACGGGCACAAAACCAAAAGCAGTAATAAAATAAGTGAGATGTTAAGAGTTATTGATCCTGGCGTGGATAGGGGGCGGGGCCGGGGGCGGGGCCAAGGGTTGGGGAGATTATTTATTCATGAGTGTGTGTTTAGAAGACTGCAGAAACTCGAGCTCTCGGTGTGTTTGTCTCGTTTTTACACACTGGAAACACTTTACTGCGCACTAACACAACCAGCAATACGTCTCTTACAGTATTTATCATCGCTGTTAACATTAGGTAATAAAACACAACTGTTCATGGTTAGCTCATGTCAGCTTATTGTGAAGTGTTAGCAAAATATCTACACATTCTTAAATTAAGATTCATTTACTGGAGATTTAAGATATTATTATTGATCAAAATGAACAAATTTCTGCCAATTCTTAATTCAAAGGGAAAACAAGATTATTTTCATAAGATTATTTCATAGATATATATATATATATTAGTTTAATCGCATCCAAAATAAAATTTACATTATATATATGTGTGTGTACTGTATATAATTATTTTGTATATATAAATACACACACATGCATGTATATATTTAAGAAATATGTGTGTAAAATATTTATATATAACATAAATTATATATAAATATACATGCATATGTATGTATTTATATATACAAAATAATTATACACAGTACACACACACATATATTATGTACAGACTAACATTTATTAAGATTTTTGTTCTGTAAAACAAGAGAAAAATACTAAGAGCATAATTTTCTGCAGTGTTAAGGCTCTTCCAGCGTACAGACACTGATTCATATATATATGATTCATATATATGTGTGTGTGTATCTGGATGTGTTTGAGTGCTTTATGAGGACGTGTGTGTGAAGAGCTCAGCGTGTGTGTAATCGCACCATTCGGCAGCATGACTTACAAGGGCAGCGACTGCTTCACCAAAAATGACTTTTCTTTGTATAAAATGTAAATTATGAATATTATATTTCTCCCATATCATGCTGTATGGCACTTTTGACAATTATTATTATTATTTAATATTTCAACTCTGTATGAAGCACCATGTGAAGAGAATCACAGCAGACTGAATGTTGATCGTTTACTTTGTTATTGAACTTTATATCTTCTGTTTCTCAGAGCTTTAATATGATTATGAGACACTTTTTAAGTCGAGAAGCTTTATGATGTTTCACTCAAACCAAAGTCACTGAATGGAAATGAGCTGCTTTTCTAAACACACAGAATCTATTTTGTTTTTATGAATCATGTGAAACTCTGTGCTGTATTTTCCAGATGTGTTCGGCTCAATCCATCTTTTGTTTGCATGATTTCAACATTTTTGTACATAAACAACAGGCCAAAAAATGTTGTTGTGAATAAAGTAATGACCAAACTTTGATTAACATTAAACTGGTTGACTGTATTCTATGCACTTTTAATGATCGTGATTTCATTGAATATTTAATTCAAGTCAGTCTAGTCATATCTGAAGTCATTCAGCTTCTCAATTAAATGTAGAGACTAAAAACATGGTTCAGGATTTAATTATTTTCACAAGTACATTTCTCTGATATTTACAAAGAAACAGCGAGTTTAGAAGTAGAAATTTTGTCGAAAAACTGAAATAGAATTTTCTTGGAAAACTGTGTTAACCATTTACTGGAGAAGCAAAATGACTGAAGATATTAAGTCTGAAAAATGAATCAATTTAAAAAATATTTATTTTAATATATAATTTATTTGGGGGGGGTTAAGAATATTTACATATTTTTAATGAAGAACAAAGCAAAACTACTAAGTAAAAAAAGATTTTTGGGTCAAGAATTTTTATATATATTTTTAATGAGAACAAAGCAAAAATGCTAAGTAAAAAAAACAAACAAATTTGGTTAAGAATTTTTTTTATATTTTTAATGGACAACAGTGCAAAAATATTAAGTAAAAAAATATTTTTTGGTTACATTTTAATATATTTTTTTTACGGAGAACAAAGCAAAAATATAGCTGCGAGCAGCGATTACGGGCCCAAGCCGGTGGCACCGCAACCCCGCTGCCTTTAGTTACCTAAAGGCACCGGGGTGGCGGTACCACCGGCTTTGGCCCTTCATCGCTGCTCGCAGCTATATTTATATATATATATATATATATATATATATATATATATATATATATATATATATAAAGCCGGTGGCACCGCCACCCTGGTGCCTTTAGGGTTATTGTGCACGACGTGCAAAAACGTAACCCTGCTTTGACTGTCGAAAAGAAGTGTGCTGTAGAGCTTGTATCAGTGTGGGCTCTGCAAAAGTGTGCATTGAGGGCACATATCAACCACAAAGTATGCGAGAGCAACCTTCTGAAAGGTCAGGTCTACATCCAGGTCTACATCTGCCGTGTGTTTACATCATAGTAGTGAAGTTTGAAGCAATCAGGTGATTTCAAAGCTTTTTGAAAGTGACAGACTTCCTGCTGCCAGTTGGTGGCGCTATAACCGGGGTGGCGGTGCCGCCGGCTTTGGCCCTTTCATCGCTGCTCGCAGCTATATTTATATATATACACACACAAACACACACACACACACACACACACAATATATATATATATATATATATATATATATATATATATATATATATACATAAATATATATATATTGTTTTTTTAAGAGACAAGACAGAATATTACTTGCCTGATCTGATTAGAAAAATAGTGTTTGTGTGTGTGTGTGTGTGTGTGTGTGTGTGTGTGTGTGTGTGTGTGTGTGTGTGTGTGTGTGTGTGTGTGTTTGTGTGTGTGTGTGTGTGTGTGTGTGTGGCGTAATTGAACAATGTAGACATAAAAACATACTCCGTCCTTTTGTTCATACAGGACATTATTCAAACTGCAAAGTGTTTACTTATATTTGTGTACACTTGCAATAAAACACAACATTGTGCTTTTGTCAAGCTATAAACTCTTGTCAAACTGTAAACTACAACTGTCACCCAACCAAAATCTCTTACACACACACACACACACACAGTTTAAAAGCAAAAAATATCAAACAATCCTATTTAAAAACAGTCTGTGGGAGCCATCTTTTGGACATTCATCATATCGCATTGGCTTTCATTTCTTGTCATCAAACAGAGCCCTAATCTGTTTATTTTTTCAGTTACACATTCTACATTGATTAAAAAAGAAAAATCAAATGTGTTTTTATTTTATACAGAAATAAATAATCTATCATTCAGATGAGAATAAAGTTAGTGTTAGTTCAAATTTTAAGGAAAACAAATATATGATCTGAAATATAGCACATTCATTTAAAATTCATTCAGGTTCAATTACCAAACATACAATCTTAATGTAATTTAAAGCAAACAATACATTTAAAATATATGGGTTGTATGACTATTTTTTAATATAAAAAGATATATATATCCAAAAAGACAAGGCCTAAAGTTTAACAAGGGTTAAACTCTTATCACTGTAACAGACACAATCACACACACAATCACACACACACACACACAAGTCAAATCACTTACATTTTACATGCAATATTGACTTTTTTTCTGTTTCAGCAGCGAAAATAGTTAAACAAAGATCACAGCAGAACCATCGCGCATCTCACAGCAACGCGTTCTCATTACTGAATGATTCAGCATTTTGAACGAATCGGTTGACTCAAAGATTCAATGACCAATCAATCCATAAACATCTATCTCATTCATGAATGACTCAGTCGTTCAAACGAATGAATCAATGACTCGCTCATTAAGACGGTCGCCTGGCGACACCTAATGACGGTTTAGTGTTATGTTTAAAAGTATCATTCTTTCCAACGATTGTTAATTAACTCATATTTGAAACATAAGCTATATTTATATATATACATACATATACACACACATACACAAAAATAAAATAAAAACACATTTGAAACGTGTTTGCTTACTAAATTGTGAGCTGAACGAAAGTTGCAGCAAATATCAGCAACAGGAGTCAAATTTCATTAATCACGAGAGTGAAGAGCTGACTGAAAAGATGATGATGGAATAGGCTATTTTATGTAAAAACGCCTATTTAAGCGAATCTGTCATTGTACTCTTTTATTGTTGTGTTTTCCGTGAAAAATAATAGACTATTGAACTCACAATTCAAGCAATCGGCCCCCGAAATTGCACTAATTTTAGTGACACTAAAAAGTATGCGGCTGCACTGGCATTCATAATGGTGCGCGTCCATGGCGACGAGCGAGCAGAACAGAGCGAACGTTTAGTTAATTTCTACTTCCATAGGAATTCATTCGAGCGCCACCATTTCAATGTCTGTGCGGACGTCCATATTATACTTTCGCTTTCAAGTTAGTGTTTTTAAACCCCCCAGCGGGAGGTTTACACAATTGGTTTACACAATCACACGTTGATTAACCGGTGGGAAAATATTCCCATAGTAACATCCCTAATATATAAATATTTATAAATTCAATAGGCCTACCTGATTTTGAACACAAGAGGGCAGTATAGCACTATATATGATTTGGATTATTATTATTTTTGACTAAACAACCATTCTGGCTGTTTTTAAACTTAAAAATAATTCTTAAATTGAAAAAAAGGAATAAAATGGGTTTAGTTCTAATATTTGTATAATTTTATATAAAAATAAATGGTGTATAATTACATTTTAGAAAGATATGAGACATGCCCTGATTCTTTTTTTGACATTACTTGAATCCCTCAACCATAGCAAAACCGTTTGAGATATTCAATATCTGTTCACAATTTAGCATCTTCAATGTATTTTCATCATGTTGAAAAAGTTTGGCATGAATAAAATAAACTACTTAGGAGGAGTAGCTAAAAACTCAGAATCTGAAATCCACATTCAAACCAAAATATCTGACTTCCTGTTGGTCGTAGCTAATTACGGTAAATTAGAAAGTTGTCCGGCTCGAAGAGTACAATATACATATCGAGTTTTGTTACTGTAGATAAAACTAACCCCCCCACTTTTGTCAAAAGCATTTAGAAAGTGACACACTTCCTGCTGCCAGTTGGTGGCGCTATAACTTTGACTCACAATAGTCACATCCATGTGATCG